CCCTACCGGTCATCTTTGAAAAAAAAAATACAAAAAACAAATCAACCAACACACATGAACTATCAACTACCAGCAGAGCCCTGGGCCAAGCTTGAGGGCCTGAGTGATGGTCCCTGTCCTCAGGGATCACGGTCCATGGAGGAGACAGGACCATGTTCCATCCTGGTAGAGCATGGATGGTTAATGACGCAGGTGGGATCTGGGCTGAGCGCTCTCAATCTCCAGGAGAGAGGTGCTCGAGGGGAGGAGGCTTCACAGAGTCAGGAATACAAGTCCTGAACCTTGAAGGTCAAAGTTTCAGTCCAGCAAGTTTGGAAAGGAAGGTGTCTCAGGACAAGGGAACAGCACACATGTGTGTAAACACCCAGAAGCCAAGAGAACAGAGAACATTCAGGGCAGGGCAAGTGTCAAAACTCGGAGCTCATAGCCCTGCCCTGAGCCTGGTCGCAGACCCTGCAGTGCGGGACACGCTGCTGGCTGAGCTCTCTGAAGAGCCAGTCTGACCTCTCAGCTCTCCAGACCTGCCCTTCAACCTCCTTCTCCCCTTTTGGGGAGCCCCACCCATCCTTTCACACCCTGCTGCCACTCTCCGTCCCCCTCTTCCTCCTTCCCAGCTCTCAGGGGACTCTGCAGAACTCCCAGTTTGTGTTCTGGAAGGATGTTCAGGGAGAGTTCTCTGCACAGATCTGGCCTGGCTGCCCTTAAAGGGGGAGTTCTCCCTCTTCTCAGGATCCCCCAAAGCCCAGCTGAATGGGCTGGTGATAGGGGTAATGGGGACAGAACTGGGGGGAGAAGGCCGGGCTGCCTCATCCCTGAGGAACTTTCCATTCCAGTCTCATGTCCCTGCTCCCCTACCCCCACCCCCGCACCCCTGGGCTGTACTGATGACTGGTCCATTCGTAACGTGTGAGCCCCCTGCCCCCTTCCATTCACCCAGATGGTGCTGTGTCTAGACCTCACGCCTCTGGTGCCTCCACCGGAGAGGACTTGCTCTCTCTTCTCCTGAAGAACTTCTTCAAGGCTCAGCTCAGATGACCCCCTGGGGACATCTTCTCTCACTTGCCAAGTTACTCGTCTCTCAGCTCCTTTCTTGGTTCACATTCCTTGTCATCACACTGCAGTCATTATGTGCTGCCACCTGCTCCCCACAGGACATGAACTCCTTGCGGATGGACGCTGAGTGGCCCCCAGCCCTGGCTGCCTTGGCCCAGCAGGCCACCTGATACACAGGAGAGGCACCCCATGGCTCCTTCTCTCCATCCACAGTTCAGCCCCTCACCTGCATCTAGAGAAGATGACATGTTTAAGCTCCTTCCCATCCGTCACCCCTTTTGGTCACAACAGCCCAGAGAGGAAAAGAAAGACAAGAGAGAGGATGTAGCCAGCTCAAGGTCACAGCCCAGTAGCCGAGCTTTCTGCCCCCAAAGTTCCACAAAGCCCTAATGTCCCAGCTGTGGGACACTTCCCTTTAATGCAGAATCCCAGGGGTCAGAGTCCTTGGTCCATGAGGACACAGGAAACTACACCCTGTCCCCTGGACCAGCCTCCTGGCTCTACCTGCCACACCCCTTCACTGGGTCCCCCCATGCCATCTGGGTGCCAACTCTCCTTAGCTGCCACTGCAAACCATGGCCTGCTTTGCCCCAAATGTGGGCTCAAACACTCCCTTCCATCCCCATGGGGTAGCTGAGGCAGCTGCTCCTGGGTTTGGCTGAGGCTTGGGGAGAGCAGCTGGGAATGACCTCTGGGCATCAGAGAGCGATGTGAGATTATGACATGGGTCTGCCCTCAATGGTCACAGGATGAAGCTGACACCCCATTGCCAAGCCTATTGCCAGGAACAGCTCACTTAACTGACACTAACCCCCCCTCTCCTGCCTACTCCCAGCTTCTGCTCTTAGGCCAGTAGAGAGAAAGCAGCCCCCCTTCCAAGGCCCACTGCCAAGTCCTCACTCCTCACGAGGGCTGACTGCGTCCAGGATGATTGAAAATGAGAAAGTCTTGTCCCTTCAGGAGAGCTCCACCCCTGCCCACAGGGCCTCCCTCTGGGACAACACATCCCAACCATGGTCTGGGCTGTGCGGTCTAGAACAATATCATACAGAGGCCACCCTCAGCTGCCATTGTTCCTGTGGACATCTGGCCTTGGCTCCCAACCTTCTCTAAGCATGAAGTTGGACAAGGGCACCCATGGACCTTGGGGAGGGGGACTTGGTAGGTTCCTCCATTAGTGCTCTAGAAACTGGCGGGGTGGGGGCCGCGAGAGGGACTCCAAGGGTATGAGGTGTTTGACCCTGGAGTGCCAGTCAGGACACCTCTCAATTTCCCCAAATGCCAAGCTTTCTGACATGTCCTTCCAGCCCAGGGCCATGGCTAGAGGGAGGCAAGCTCTCTCCTCCCTCATTTCCCCAGTGCCCAGCCTAGTGCCAGGCACGTGAGGGCCTTTGGATGAATTGAACTGACCCAAGTCCAGATTGGAATAAAATGAGTCCAAGGGGCCTTCACTTCTTCCTGGAAAAGCATAAACATGGAAATGTGATGTTGGGCAGATTTGGGGAAACATCCACATTCAGTCAAGGCAACAAAAATGACCTAGAACATGTGGTGTGAGCAGAAAGGACCAGTTGCCAAGCTGCGGTGCCTCTGCCTGGGTGTCTGGTGGGCTGCCAGGGGCGGTGCCCACAGAGCAGCCCAACAGCTGGTCACATTCTCCTCTGAAGCCAGATATTCCCACTGCTGACAGCCAGCCATCAGTGCTTTCCCAGCCCCCTGCACTTGGCTTCTTCTTGACTCCTGGGGCAGGCTGAGGGGCAAGGGGACTGCGACCACTGTGCTGGAGCAGGGAGGCAAGGCCTTCACCTGGCACTCACTGCCACAGGCCACAGGAAGCCAGCCCAGTTTGGGCCCAGGGCTTGAGACGGATCCCACCAGCTAGAAGAGCAAGTGCCCACCCTGGAGCGGGAGGGGGCACGGCCCAGCCCCCTGCAGCCAGGGCCTCTCTCTGCCCCTGACTGGCATGAAGGGTGAGGGTGGCAGAGGGCCCAGCAGCAGGCAGAATGCCAGCTTTGCAGGCAGATTGCCAGGCCTGAGCGCCAGCTCCAGCTTTGCCAGCCCAGAGGCCTCGGGCGAGTCGCCTAAGCCCACCCTCACAGCCTCATCTGTGAGAGGGGAATAAACAATAACAGCCAGTCCTCAGAGGCCTTGCAGTGCGCGGTGCAGTGACGCACGTGAAGACTTGGCACAGTGCCCTGCTCAGGGCAGGTGCTGGTCCCTTTTCCTCACCAGGGGAGTCCCTTAACACCTCTCTCCTTAACACCTCGCTGTTGCTTTAGTTTCCTCCTCTGTAAAATTTGAGGGGGGCATTTGTTTTGATTTTTTTTTGTCTTTTTTCGTGACCGGCAACGGATCGCAACCCTCAGTGTCACACCCGTACCGGACCGGGACCAGCAACGGGATCGCAACCCTCGGTGTTGCCCCCGCTCCTCGCTCAGCCAGCGAGCGGCCGGTCTGTATGTGGGATCCGAACCCTCGGCGGGAGCGCCGCCGCGCTTCCCAAGCGGCGCACTGTAGTGGGCACCGGGCCGGCCCCTTGAGGGGGGCATTTGTGAGAATTAATTGTGACCGCCAGGTGAAGGCCCCAGCACAGGCCATGGAACATAGCTCATCCCTAAATAGGAGGACAGGGCTCAGGGTCCGAGGCACTGCCCTCCTGTCTCTCTGCCAGGACTCAGCCCAGTGCAGTCCTGTGGGCGAGACCAGTAAATAGTTGTAGAATTGCCGGATATGCTCTGTCCCGGCCTCTGAGTTTCTGTTGTTAGAGTCTGAACTAGGGAATTTCAGGCTGGCGGCCACAGAACCAACACTCACTTTATAGACGAGGAAACTGAAGCCCATAGAGGGCCAGGGACTTGCCCAGGTTCCCACAGCCAGTCAGTGTTGGAGCTGGGGCTAGGAAGGTTTGGCTTAAAATCTCTCTTCTTTCTTGCCGATCTGAACTTAAGTTTCAGTCTCTGCCTCCTTATCAACTAGAGACTAGGAGTAGGGGACTAGGCCCTGGCCACCCCCCAGGAGATGAGAGACTGCCCCACTAGGGGGGCGTATGGGGAGGGGCACAGCGGGGGACGAGAATGCAGGCTGCTCTGGCCCGGGGGCCTGGACTTGGCCGCCGACAGAGGAATCAGTGTGCCCAGACATTGGGGCTTTGTGAGCTTGGAGAAGCTTGGTGTGGGGACAGTTGTTTTTGTTGACCTGACATTGTTTCAGGTTGACGAGTATCAGCATCTTAGTGCCCAGGGGCCAGCTCTTCGGAGCCAGCCAGGGTCTTGGGGAGAGGGTGACTAGGGTGCCCTAGTCTGGGGCAAGAAGTGGAGGGGGCTGCCTGGGTCCTGTGAGCACTGAGCAGGTCCCCATGGGGAAAGCTTCAGAGGAACAATGAGTCCGGAGGGGACACCAGGAGAGGAGAGAAGGTGCCAGAGAGGAGGATGGACAGAGGCAGCACAGGGACCCAGCAGCTGGTGTGTTCTTGCTGTGGAGCTGGGAGCCCTGAGAACCCAGCCACCAACCTCAGTCCATGAAGGAAGACCTGGGAGAATCCTAGGGGCCAGGAGGGCCACAGGAGGACTTGGGGGCTGGCCAGGCTGGGGTGGGGTGGGCCAGATGTCCAGAAGTGGGTGAGAGATAACTCCGTTTACGGGGCACCCGGTGAGAGTGGAGCGGGAGGGGG